GGAAATACACAGTGAGCCTCACGCCGGTGGCCATGTCACACTTAGGCCTGCTCGGCGGCGGCTGTCAGAGCGTCGTCAAGAGCCTCGCCCATGGTCTCGATGAGCGCCACAGGTCGATTGCCATCGACGCCTGCTACCAGCGCTTAGCGGCAACGCTGCAGCGCGCCAGCGTCGAGCTGTTGGCGTCCGCGGCGCCCCTGATCCCCTAGCTTTTGGGCCCGCTCGTCGCCCCCCCTCCTCTCCGCTCTCCCTTCGCCGGGGCCCCGCCTGATTGCAGTGCCACCGCGCCTTTTTTTGTTTCCCCTTCCCCCTCCCTTCCCCTCTTCCCCCCCGCCCCTTGCCTCCGGCGGGCGTGCGAGCGCCTGAGGGGGGGTGAGCATGCTACGCATGGAATGAATTCGACGGAAATAAATCGCAGTGGATCCGTGAGTGGATCAATCTAGACCTGATGAGGCTATGATGCCTCTTTTGATTTTGAGCCGGCTATGATGCCCGCTCGTGCCCGCCCCGTCCCGTCTTCAGGGACTTCGCATCCTCCTATGATGGTAAGATGGGAAGACGGGCCGCCGCCCCTGGCACTGCACGTACGGCGCCAGGTTTGTGGGGATTTGGTTCGACCCCCGCAGTTCCGGCGATGGAAACTGCAAGGGGTGCGAGGCCTCATGGTGGTCCTCACTGGCAAGGCCTATGATGGTCCTCACCAGGGGGGGGGGGAGGGCAAGGGCGGACCAGGAGGAGGAGGACAGGGAGGAAGAGGAGGACGATGACGAGACAGTTGAGTTCAATGAACAGATTGAGCGCGAAGGCCTAAGATGGTCCTTCTTCCCAAAACGAGCCTTGCTGATGGCCCCGAAATGGGTGCGAGGTGCCTATGATGGCCCCTCTGGTTGCCTATGATGGCGGCACTAGACGACCGGCAGGGGACTGGGTCCCGTTCACGGTCCATTAGGGGTGAGCATGCTACGCATGGAATGAATTCAATGGAAATAAATCGCAGTGGATCCGTGAGTGGATCAATCTAGACTGATGAGGCTATGATGCCTCTTTTGATTTTGAGCCGGCTATGATGCCCGCTCGTGCCCACCCCGTCCCGTCTTCAGGGACTTCGCATCCTCCTATGATGGTAAGATGGGAAGACGGGCCGCCGCCCCTGGCACTGCACGTACGGCGCCAGGTTTGTGGGGATTTGGTTCGACCCCCGCAGTTCCGGTGATGGAAACTGCAAGGGGGGTGAGGCCTCATGGTGGTCCTCACTGGCAAGGCCTATGATGGTCCTCACCAGAGGGGGGGGGGAGGGCAAGGGCGGACCAGGAGGAGGAGGACAGGGAGGAAGAGGAGGACGACGACGAGACAGTTGAGTTCAATGAACAGATTGAGCGCGAAGGCCTATGATGGTCCTTCTTCCCAAAACGAGCCTTGCTGATGGCCCCGAATTGGGTGCGAGGTGCCTATGATGGCCCCTCTGGTTGCCTATGATGGCGGCACTAGACGACCGGCAGGGGACTGGGTCCCGTTCGCGGTCCATTAGGGGTGAGCATGCTACGCATGGAATGAATTCAATGGAAATAAATCGCAGTGGATCCGTGGTCGAAATAAATCTCACGCCTCCCCGCCGCGCGTCCGTCTCCTCCGCCTTCCGGTTCTCCCCTGCCCCCTCCCCCCTCCCCCTTCCCCCGGGCAGTTTTTTTTTCGGGGTGCGTCCTGTCGCCGGCGCCCAGGCGGGCTGTCGCCCCCCGCCCGGGCGCCGGAAAAAAAAAAACGGATGGACGCACACCCGCGGAGTGAGGGTGTTTGAGAGCATTGGTTAATTTTCTCGGCCTGGCGCGCATGGACTATCCTCGCACGCCTGGCGCCAGTGGACACCCGCCCTAAAGGTGGACGGGCGCTGAGGTCGCGGCAGCAGCAGAGGAGGAGGAGGAGGAAGAGGAGGAGGAGGAAGAGGAGGAGGAGGAGGATGCCAGAGGCTTTCTTGGGACAGCCCGTGGCTCTCCTCGGGCCGTCTTGGGCCGTCCAGGGTTCCTCCTGCGCCGTCTCGAGGCACTCTTGGAGGCCCCCTGGGCGATTAGGGGCTCTCCTGGGCTGTCTTGGGGCAGTTTGGAAGCCCCTTGGGAGCTTCTTGGGGCCTCTTGGGGTTTCTTCGGGGCCTCTTGGGGGCCTCTGGGGCTGAGAGCTCGAAGTGTCCGTTCGGGTCCCGCGTCTGGGCGCTCTCCTGGAGCCGTCTTCGGGGCCTCTTGGGCCGTCTTGGAGGCGTCTTGGGCCGTCTTCGGGCCCTCTTCGCACGTTAGGGGGCCCTTCGGGGGGCCTCTTAGGCGTCTCGGGGCGATCTTGGGGGCCTCTTGGGCCGTATTGGCGCGTCGGGAAGCGGAAGAGGCAATAACGCCAGCATCTATCAAAAACGTAAGGGCAATCCATGAATTTGCCTCTTGGGGCTCTCGTGAGAAAGCTCCTGCAGTCCTCTTAGGGGCGCTTTGCAGGCCTCTCGGGCCGTCTGGAGGCCGTCAAGGCGCGTTGGCCATACCGTTCGGCGATTCGGGGTTCTCTTGGACTGTCTTTGGGGCCTCTTGGGGCACTCTTCGCCCGTCTTGGGGTTCTTTGGGCCCCCGGACTCCCAGGGGGGGCGTCGTATTTGACCCCCCCCCCCCCCCGGGGCGTCTGACCCCCCCCCCCCCTGGGACCCCCCCCTCCCCCGCGGGGGAGGGATCAAAGGGAAGGGGCTTCCCTTCGACTCAATTACGACGTTGCTTATTTTGGCTTTGGCTGGCGCGCTGAGAAGGTCCCTGGGAAAGGGGGGGAGCTTCGACGAGCCCAGGGAAAGGGGGAGGCAGGGAAAGGGGACGACAGAGACGACGACCAACGAATGACGGAGATGACGAGTTGAACGGACAAGCCCCTCACACACGCCGACAGGGTTGGCGGATTTTTCGTTCTTTGTGCGTGGGGTCTTGCGGGGAAGCCTCTTGGAGGCCTCAGGGGTCCAGCCCAGGGCCGCTCCCGTGGTCCATCCGGTGCAGTTCTTCATCTCCGATCGGTCTCCGACGGTTCTGGGGTCTTCCGCGCTGTGAACCGAACCATCGTATATCGAAGCCGACTTGAGGGCCTCTTGGAGGCCTCTGGGGAGCCTCTTGGCGGCCTTCTGGGGGCGTCTGAACGCCTTTTTGGAGCCTCTTGTGGCCTCCTGGGAGCCTCTAGGGGCGGACGGCTGGAATGTTCGTTTCGTGTTCCCCCTTTCGAGCCCCTCTTGGGGCCGTCTTGGAGCCCTTTTGGGTCGTTTTGGGCGCCTCTTGTGCCCTGTTGGGGGCTTCTTGGGAGCCTATGGGGCCGTCTTAGGGCGGTCTTGGAGGCATTTTGGAAGGGCTTCCGCGCGGGAATTTGAAGACTTTGGCCTTTTGGAGGCCTCCTGGGAGGCCTCTTGGAACGCCTTGGCGGCCTCTTGGGTCGTCTTCGGCCCATGTCAGGCGTCTTGGAACGATCTTCCGGCCCAGGCTAGGGGTCTTGGAACGTCGGCGTCTCGGGGCCCTCTTGGACCGGCTTGGGGGCCTCTTGGGCGGCCCCAGAAGCTGTCGTGGACCTCCAAAATGAGGCCGGGAAGGGCCGGACCCCCCTGGTGAGCTTCGGCCAGACGGCCCCCCCCTCCAAATCGACCGGACCATGCCAGGCTCCGGGGGGAGGGGTTGGGGGAGGGTGAAGCATCTCACACGCCGATGATCCCAAGGGGTCGGCGGATTTTGCCCCTCTCGGGCGTCGGATCGCTCCAAATCTAAGTCCGAGGGCGAGGAGATAGGCAGGAGGCAGGCATGGCTGCTTTTTGGCCGCCTCGTTTGGCGCTTGGCCAGTTGGCTCTGGTTGGCTGGTCGGATGAAGCTCTCGGTGGCTGGTCAGGCTGGTTGGCCTGGCTCAATGGGGAAACAATTGCTTTGACATCAGCATGCCCCCCCCTGACATACTGCCCCAACGCATGATGCGCGACGCGAGGAGGATGATGAAGAGGAGGGGGGGCGGGGAAGAGGAGGAGGCGGGGGCGAAGGACGAGGGCGGGGACGAGGGTGAGGAGGACCGAGCCTCGTTGTCCGTGGCCATTTTGGGCCAAGCTCCCCGAGGGTCGGTTGCGCTGGCCCTGGAGGGCGGCAGACTTTGCCGTGTGCCCAGGTACGTGCATTTGGGCCCGTCCTGGCTTCGGCACGCCCGATATATCTACGTTCCTGAGCGGCCTGCGGGCCGCGGGGGCTATGAGGCCGGAGGGCCCTGGGGCTCTCAAGGACCTCGGAAGTGGGGGGGGGCCAGGGGCGTGGAGTCCACGCAACACAGCACAAGGGTGGCATGGTGAGTGTTGCATTGGCAACCAAGCGTCAACCCAGGCCAACGCGGACAGAGACAGCAAGGTGGCAAACGCAAACGTTGGGACGACGAAACCAACACTTACTTACGTCACCGCAGACCAGACCCCCACCGACAGCCCACAACGACCCAACCGAAAAGACAGCCGAACGACTAGCACCAGTACACCGACACCACGCGAGCAAGCATCGAAGACCAATGGCGAGAAGACGAAATAACACATGCATTCACACCGACACCAAGGACGTCCTCCTTCTCTTCATCGTCCTCGTAATGTTGCACTCGTCTCGCAATGCATGTCTGCAGACACGCCAAAGTCCATAGTCCACGGTCTCACCCACCTGATCTGACCTAGACCTGGACGCTTGTCGGCAGTGGTGGTCGTTCTTTCGCTAATGTAGATCCATGTCGAGGGTCTCAATCATGCAGATGCTTGGACTTCCAACGTCGTGACTTTCCACAGCGGGCGTTCTTCTTGAGTCATTGTTGTTGACGGTATCAGATCTGGTAATGGGCCCCCCGAGATCGAACATTGCCCCGAACCTTCCGTTGCAAGTTTCTCACGACGCGAGGACGTCAAGGTCAGTTCATGAGGGATGGAGGATTGTTTTGTTTGCCCAGTGGGAGGCCTGCGTGTCGCCCCCCCCCCCCCCCCTCCGCCCGAGGCGGGCTGCACGGCGCAGCAGCGGGCGGTAACCCTCGACGCGAACTGGCGTTGGGTGCACGGCCAGACCTGCCAGGGGACCCTCGCGGGGGGGGGGGGGGAATGCTTCCAGAATGCCTCCCTTGCGGGTCCATTTTGTTTTGATCTTCCGATGGTTCCGATGTTGCGATATTCCGATGCGGCTCGATGCCTGCACGAGGGGCGTTGCGCATCTTGGCGAGACCTATCCGAACCGTTTTGACTTCATGCTGATGCGTCTCGAGCTGACCCAAGATCCGACCCGATCCGATTTCACGACTGTGTGTTGACCGACCTTGCCCTCGTTCCATCTATCCACTTGCGAGCAGATGGCACATAGGCCCTAGGCCACGATAGCGATGGCGCCATGTCTGGCCACAGCCCGACCCCCTCTTTCATTAAGAGAAAACTCACGCCCACCTCACAAAAACGCAAACGCCTTCCAAAGCATGCAAGTTTTTGGGACGATTCAGTAGTCAAGCGCACAAGATCAAGCAGATGAGGAGACCAGAAGCCAGGGGGAAGGAGAGATGAGCGGGGAGAGAGGAGGTCGATCAGGAGGAACGTACAGTCACTCACGTCATGGATGGGGGGACGTGAGGTGATCGCGTGAAGCCCCTTGGCTGATCAGGTAAACATCTTGATGCATCCAAACCCAGGCTTGGGAACTCGAGTCCGATCAAGGCCGCGCGCGTGCAGACTGCTCATAACGGGGAGGATGGTCAGCATCTGGCGAAGTGTCAGGTTGCCGACGCTCTGAAAAGCTCAGGGCCCGGAGGCCCGGTTGCTGAACTGCGGCTCGCTGGCCTTTTGACCCGCGTCGCGTCCAGGTAATCGACGGGAGATCGGGTATGGAATTTAGTTGCTCGTGGTTTGCTGATCCACGCTCTACCCCGAAATTCCTGCCCCGGCTTCTGGCGTCCGGGTTCAGGACGCTCGGGCGTCCAGGGGCGGCCATGCGCAGAGTTCTCGCAGGCCCTTGATGAGGCGCAGGAGAGGGGCGAGGGCGTTGGATGGGGATGATGGGAGGATGAAGCTAGGAAATGATCCAGGGAGCGACATGGAAAATTCGGATAAGATGGGCGGGGGAGAAGGCGGTAGAGGTGGAGGGGCAGGGCGGTGAAGGTGGAGGGGCAGTGTGAAGGTGGAGGAGACAAGAGGGATCCCTCTCCTCCATTTTCTCCTGCCCCTTCGTTTCCCTGTTCCCCTTCCTCCCTTTCCTCCTCGTCGCATTCTCTTCCTAAGATTTTCGGTGAGTGATCGCCCTGGTCCTATAGCGATTGTATCGCCCGCGGCTCCAAGCACAAGGCCCAACTTTTGCCATGGGGCACATCTTTTTCCCCACATCCAAATTGGGGTTCTTGTTTTCTCTGCACACGCCGCGCAGGATCTCACACCCCCCCTTTCCTTTCTCTCTCACACACACACACTCACCATCATCACCATCATCATCACCATCAACAACCATCATCGTCATCACACGCACACACTCATCATCATTACCATCATCATCACCATCATCTACCATCACCGTCATCACTACTCATCATCGTAATCCTTCATCACTACTCATCATCATCATCATCATCATCATCCTCCTCCTCCTCCTCATCATCATCATCATCATCATCATCGTCAACATCATCACCACTCGATCACCCACTCACTCACTCAATTACTCATCCTCAGTAGGCTTCGGAGGCAGTGGTCCTCCGACGGTAGGACCGCCGCCACTCTCAACATCATCGTCACCATCTCCATCATAATCTCTCGACCACCCATTCAGTGGCCATCATGATCATCATCAGCATCATCATCACTCATTCATCACATATTATTATCATCATCATCATCATCATCATCATCATCATCATCATCATCATCATCATCATCATCATCATCATCATCATCATCATCATCATCATCATTCATTCATTCATTCATTCATTCATTCATTCATTCATTCATTCATTCATTCATTCACTCATCATTTCGTCATCACTCACTCCCTGGCTTGAATATGGAGGTAGTATCAGGCGGGAGCCTCGTCTGTGAGTGAATTGTGAGGAAGTCTCAGGCGGGAGCCCCTCTCTATGGGGCCCGCACCTCATGTTGGTAATCCGAGGCGGGTCATCCGAAACGTGTAACTGTCGTCACTTTTGGGCCCCTGTGGCGAGAATCTGGGGGAAGTATCGAGCGGGAGCCTCGTCTGTGAGTGAATTGCGACGAAGTCTCAGGCGGGAAGCCTCTCCCTATGGGGCCCGCACCTCATGTTGGTAATCCGAGGCGGGTCATCCGAAACGTGTAACTGTCGTCACTTTTGGGCCCTTGTGGCGTGAATCTGGAGGAAATGTCAAGCGGGAGCCTCGTCTGTGAGTGAATTGCGACGAAGTCTCAGGCGGGAAGCCTCTCCCTATAGGGCCCGCACCTCACGTTGGTAATCCGAGGCGGGTCATCCGAAACGCGTAACTGTCGTCACTTTTGGCCTCCGGAGGGCTTGAACAAGGAGGATGTATCAGGCGGGAGCCTCGTCTGCTGATCCTGCGGCCGCCCGCGCGAGAGTTCCTGGAACGCGGGCCGCCGGCGTCACTGCGGAAGGCGCTCCAGGAGTTCGACAAGAGAGCGGTGGACCCCATGGCTGAGGCGGAGCAGCTCGCGGCAGAGCTGGGTTTCGTGCTGCCACCCGCCTGAGCGCGGCGGCGCGCACCTGGAGGCCCGCGGGGTTGTCCCAACGGCTGGCTCCCGCGCCCCTGCGGCCTGCGAGGTTGTCCCAACGGCCTGGCCCGAAGGGTTGCCCCGACGGCTTCGCGATCTAGCCGTCGGCAAACGCGCGCGCGCTGGCCGACGCGGCGACGGCGCCGAGGAAAATCGAGTTGCTTGCCACGACCAGGGGGAACGGGAGGTGCACATGGAGAAGAGGCAGGAGGATGAGGAGGGAAGGGGCATGGGGGAGGGCGACGACGAGGAGGAGGTGGCGCGAGAGGAGGAGGAGGAGAAGGAGGAGGAGGACAAGGAGGAAGAGAAATAGAAGGAGGAAGAGAGGGCAGTGCAGAGGACGAGAGGAGAGGATGTCCGCCAGGGGGAGGAGGAAAGGGCAAAAGGATAAGCTAAACACGTGTTCGTGTGGGGTCCTACCGTCGGAGTAATTCAGTGGGGTACTCGATTTGGGGATCCGCTGTCAATCATTTCTGACACACGTGAAAAACTGGCGGACATGCTGACTCCCGCGGTCCCGCAGTCTGGACTCCTGGACTGGGGCCCTGTGGATGCAGGGCGGCTCTGCGCGGATGCCCCGCGCGAAACGTTTCCACTATATCGCCGTACGGCGGATGCGTGTCCTGTCGACCTGGCGCCCAGCGCGTGCCCGTAGCCGGTGGCATGGGATCGGCCGATATGAACAAATATTTGCTGCCAGAAAGCCGCGACCGGTCAGGGTCGACGATCGGCGCGGAGTCAAAGACCAGCATTCGCGTCGTCACTGCACGAGCTCGCCGCATAAGTTAATTTCGCGCGGATGCCCCGCGCGAGACGTGTTCACAGGATCGCGCATCCACGGGATTGCATTTCGGCGTGCAGATTGCGAGGGCATGGATGTGGACGCGTCTTTTCTCGCAGGCGATTTCCCTCCCTCAGTCCCCGAGTTTACCCACTCGAAACGTGCCGCTCAGAAAAGAACGAGGACTCGGAAATGCGCCTTCAGTGAATCTGTTACGCGCCCCCATCGCAAATCCCCGAGTTGGGCACCCTTATCTGTTGCCCATTCGGAAATCCTGCAAAGTCAGGGAGTGGGCTTGCCATGCTCTCGGTTATCTTCGTCGCTCGGTGGGAGGACGGGCCCGACGGCGCAGTGCTACTCCTCCGGCAACTGCTACACGGACGGCTTGTGGGACGCGTCCATCTCTGGGAGCAGAGCAGTGGTACACTCGAGGTTGTTTTTCATCTGATCCTCTGGGGATCCTGTACCCCAGACTTCCGACGACATGATTTGTCCAATTCTGGCGTTTTCCCAATTTCGTCTTCCAGTGGCTGTCTTCGGGCCCCTAGACGATGAGCGTATATAGGGCGCAACATTATATTTGGGAAAGGGGTGGCCTTTGATTCAACACATCGAATCCGAATATGTCTTGGCATGTTCATGCCAAGGTTTCGTGCGCGGGTTGATCCGCTTATTGCAGGCTGATTTTGGTCGGATCCAGCTTGCTACGTGAATGCTGTCTGAACGCTGAAACAACAAGGCGATAACAGGCGATAGTGGACGACGGGGGCAGGTGGTGGTTTGTATCGTAAGGAGTTGCGCCTGCGCCGTCTGGGAGTATACACGTAGCTCCCCGCACTTGCGGACAAGAGAGAGGGGGCGGGAAATATTGTTCCCATGTACGGCATAGTGTCCCCGAATGCTACCCCCACGTCTGGTCCCCACGCATTGCCCCTGAGTATCGTCCCCGTGTAATCAGCCCCCCTTGTGTACTGGCCCCAAATATGGCTCCCATGTGCAATCCCCATGATATTCCCGCAAGTATTGCCCCCACGTATTGCCCCCAAGTGTCGTCCCCATGTGTTGCCCCCAAGTATTGGCCTCCATGCATTCCCCCGAAGCATCGCCCCCACGGGTGGCTCCTCAAAGTATCGCCCCCAGAAGCCGAGCTCTCCATCCAGCTTGGGCGCGCAGGGACGAGCCAAGACTGTTCGGGCCCCCTCACTCTGAGTGAATACCCCTTGCAATTCCTTGCAAGTAGTGGCACGACACGTGATGTTCCCGGGGGTGGGGTGAGGGCGGGGGGCGGCCCCGGAAACGGGCGTTATCGCGAATAGTTGTAACGAGTTCCTCAGAGAAGGGGCGCGGTGAGCAGAGAAGGGCGGGCAGTTACATGAACGGGCGTTTTCGCAAGTAGTTTTAAACGAGTTCCGCAAAGAAGGGGCGCCGTGAGCAGAGCAGGGTGGGCAGCTATGGCCTCTGAAAATCATTCCGGGGATCGGTTCATCCTAGTTTATGCCGCTTGCCAGGGGTAACCTCTCTCCAGGGCGTAAAGGTGTTCAGAAACCCGTGGTTTACCAGAGAAGTTGTGCGTTATCCATGTCGTTTTCATCGTCAGAGTGAGGGGGCCGAACGGTCATTCACTGTCCCTGGGTGCGTGGCTGATGTGGAATTCCGCGGTGCGGATTCTTGTTATTGCTGTTGTTGTTTGTTGTTGTTGTTGTTTGTTGTCGTCGTCCCACCCGCAACCCGCCCCGCGACCCACCCGCGACCCACCCCGCGACCCACCCCGCGATCCACCCGCGACCCACCCGCGACCCACCCGCGACCCACCCCGCGACCCACCCCGCGACCCACCCCGCGACCCACCCCGCGACCCAACCCTCGACCCACCCCGCAACCCCCCCGCGGCCCACCCCGCGACCCACCCGCGACCCACCCGCGACCCACCCGCGACCCACCCGCGACCCACCCGCGACCTACCCCGCGACCCACCCGCGACCCACCTTCGACCCAAACCACTTTCAAGGTACAAACCACAATTTTCGGCGCCTGCGGCGGGCTTTTTTGCATTCCTTCCAAGTGGAGAGCCCGCGACACATCCCGTGACCAACTCGCGACCAACCCGCGACCCAAACCACGTTCAGGGTACAAACCACATTTTTCGGCGCCTGCGGCGGGCATATTTTGCATTCGTTTCAGGTGGAGAGCCCGCGGCCCACCCGCGACCACGTTCAGGGTACAAACCACATTTTCGGCGCCTGCGGCGGGCATCCTTTGCATTCGTTCCCTGTGGAGAACCCGCGGCCCACCCGCGACCCAAACCTCGTTCCGTGTACGAACCAATTTTTCTGGCGCTTGCGGCGGGCTGCTTTTGCATTCCTTCCAGGTGGAGGTGGAGAGCCCGCGACCCACCCGCGACCTAAACCACGTTCACTGAACAAACCAATGCCGCACAAGCGCGGCGGCGGATTCTTGCATGCCGTCTGAGCCCGCAAGGACCTCTTCACGCCCCGCACATCCACGCCAGCCCGTCCAGCAACTTTGCCCTGGCGAGTTGCCTTGATCAGAGAAGGCGGGGAGCATAAAGTGGAAAAAAGGATTGCGTTGCAGTTATCTTGGGAAAGGAGGGGGAGGCAGGATGAGTAAACAGGGGACGAGGAGAACGAGGAAGAAGAGAGGATGTAAGGAGAACGTGGAGAAAGAAAAGGAGGAGGAGCAGGAGGACGAGGGGGAGGAGGGGGAGGAGGGGGAGAGGAGGACGAGGAGGGGGAGGATGGGGAGGATGATGATGATGGACGACAATGGGAGGACGATGATGGAGGCCGATGAGGGGGAGGACGACAATGGGAGGACCATGATGAAAAGACGAGGGGGGAGAGGGAGGACGAGGAAGAAGGAGGAGGAGGAGGAGGACGAGGTGGAGGAGGAGGATGACGATGACGATGAGGACGAGGAAGAGGAGGAGGAGAAGGAGGAGGAAGAGGAGGAGAAGGAGGAGGAGGAGGAGGTGGAGGAGAGCGCCATCGACAAGGAAGGTGGGGGCCACGAGGTCCGCCGGCTCGACGACGCCCGCGTCGCCCGCGCCCGCCCCCTCACTCTTATCCGCAATTGCGGGGTGCTACGTACATTATTCAGTTCTTAGGACTCTTCCTCCGCCGTTTCTGTGCCGCCGCCGCCATTCGCTGCTGTTGCGCCAGATTGCGCTTCCGCCGTTTTTTTTGGGGGGTACCAGTGATCAAGCCAGCACCGCGTGCCCACACCTACGCAGGGAACGACGAGCGCGCGTCGGGTCGTCGCTGCATCGTCTCCCCCCCCCTCCCGTGTGCACATCGCAGACATCACAGCCTAACGGACACGACTGCCGCGTCCTTGCGCGATTGCCAGAGTACCGAGGAGACCGCTGTCACATTATCAGTCATCCCACATTTGCAGGGGACTGCAACCCTCCGGGATAAGGTCGATGCATTCGCCAGCTAAAAGGGGACATGCTGATCTTTTGATTGTGATGGACCGTTTGAGAGACAATGCTGTGGACACCCCGCTGCCGCAGCGGCCCGAGGTCACCGAGCGCTTTCCACTACTCGCAAAACGCCTACTCGCAAACGCCCGAGAAACACATGCCCGTTTCGGTGTACGTTATCGTAAACTCCCACGGCGGATCCAGGCCACTTGCGAGTAGTTGCCTTTCGAGTAGTGGAACGCGTTCGTCTACAAGGGGCCAGATGACACCAATCTGGCACATGATTCGCCCACGCAGGTTCCCATTTAACGGCGGGCAGCAGCAGCGACGGATGAACCCTTGTCGCCCACTACAGTTGGCGTTCCAATCTCAGCTCCCTCATGGCGTCACTGCCCCGTGACATGGTCGAGGGGTAGTCATTATTCTAATGGCCCGCCTCGCGATCTGTCAACGAGTCGCGCCTCGATCAATGTCGTCCGTCGGGCACGGGGGCCGCTCTATCCAGCAGCGGCAGAGAATGAATGTCTGGGGGATGTGGGGGAGATTGGCGGCCCGCGCTTGCGCCCGGCATGCGTGGCTTTTTCGCGCATTGGTGAGCACAGCGGCGCTAATTGGCCCCGCCCACATCGCGCGGGCATGACGGAACGCAACTGCCGCCATATTGCCATCCATTCCTGCCTGGCAGGAGAAAGATGCCGAGACTGGCGCCGCTTGGGGAAGGGAATTCAGCGGCCAGATGAGTCCAAGAATTCGCGCGATGAAAGGATGAACAAGTGTGGCGTAGACAGAAAGAGAAAGACATTGCGTCTTTGATTGCACCTCCTGGAGGCGGCTGAACCATCTCTGAGGGAAGCTGAACGCGACAATCAAGACATGGGAGACGCAGCTGAGTTGGCGACATGGGGCAGGAAACTCAGCGCTCGAAGGAAATGGATGAGAAAGGACAGCACATGTGAGATCATCTGCCGGCTGTCGAAGAGGCAGCAACTACTTCCGAATAGAAGGTGGGAGCAGCCCCGCCAGAGAGGGCGGCCCAAGCCGCTGCAGAGACACAGCAGGTTCGGGGGCGCGCGTCTGTCGCGACCGGCGGGCGACGCATCCTGGGCAAGCTGCCGCCGCAGACGCGAGGGGAAATATTAGGTAATGAGAATGTGTGAATATATTGGGATATGTGAACAACGTTAACGAAGATGAAACTCGGCACTAACAGGCACAATCGAGGCGGAAACTTCTCCTAGATGAGCCATCCCAGACTAAGCTTGTGGCATTGCAGGTTCAACCCTGGGCGCCCAATAGCGCCGTCTCAATCGCGCGGGCAAGTTCTTCCACGTTGCAGGTTCAACTTGCGGCGCGGGAAAGGCGCGCGCCCGCGCCGCCGCGGCGCTGGGGCAGCCGGCAAGCCGAACTCTGGGAATGAGCTTCCAATTCGGGCCCAGGAGCTAACGTCCGCCATCGCCGAGCGAGGCGACCCCCGCGCCAACTCTGTCGGATGGCCGTGCAGACGGAGCGGCTTCTCTGAAGGCTGGGCGAACGCGTGCGATCGCGGCTCCAGGAAGCGCGGGGAATTGTTCTTTCTGCGCGGTGCCAAAGAGGCAGAATTGCGCTCAATGCTACAAGCCATGTTGGAGGGGCCACATTGGCACGGCAGCCGAGCGGCGCGGGCAATCCGCCCGGGAGATGCTAGACGCAGAAGCAGAGTCGCGAGGAATAGACTTGAGGATGAGCGCAGACAATCCCAGCAATGGGATGATGAAGCGAGAGGGGCAGTTTCAATAAGAAGGAACCGCCAGAGGCACTTCGGAATGGAAATGAGCCATTTGATAGGGCGAAGCGGCCCATGAAGGCGGGGGGGGCTACGGTCGCCATCATCGAGCAGAAGGATGGCAGTCGGACAGCGCCACCAGCTCTAGAAGACGTCCTCGATGGATTGCCGAATT